CATATGCCTGTAATCCCAGCTACTCAGGAAGCTGAGGCAGGAGAATCACTTGAACCCAGGAGGCAGAGTTTGCAGTAAGCCAAGATCACACCACTGTACTCCTGACTGGGCAACAGAGCAAGACTCAGTCTCAAAAAAGAAATACTTCTTTTTTTTTTTTTTTTGAGACGGAGTTTCGCTCTTGTTACCCAGGCTGGAGTGCAATGGCGCAATCTCGGCTCACCGCAACCTCCGCCTCCTGGGTTCAGGCAATTCTCCTGCCTCAGCCTCCTGAGTAGCTGGGATTACAGGCACGTGCCACTATGCCCAGCTAATTTTTTGTATTTTTGGTAGAGACGGGGTTTCACCATGTTGACCAGGATGGTTGGTCTTGATCTCTTGACCTCGTGATCCACCCGCCTCGGCCTCCCACAGTGCTGAGATTACAGGCTTGAGCCACCGTGCCCAGCCAAAATACTTCTTTTTTTTAATTGTAGGAATTTATGACCATAAATTTTACTCTTAGCACTGCTTTTGGTGCATCCCCTAAATTTTGTTACATTGTTTTGGTTTTTACTTGTTCCCAGTTATTTTCTAATTCCCCCCCCAACCTTTTTTTTTTTTTGAGACAGAGTCTCTCTCTGTCACCAGGCACCAGGCTGGAGTGCAGTGGCGCAATCTCAGCTCACTGCAGCCTCCGCCTCCCGGGTTTAAGCAATTCTCCTGCCTCAGCCTCCTGAGTAGCTGGGACTACTGGCTAGTGCCACCACACCCAGCTAATTTCTGTATTTTTAGTAGAGACAGGATTTCACCATGTTGGCCAGGATGGTCTCGATCTCTTGCCCTCGTGATCTGCCCACCCTGGCCTCCCAAAGTGCTGGGATTACAGGCGTGAGTCATTGTGGCCAGCCTTCTAATTTCCCTTTTAATTTACATCTATATGTAAATTAATATTGTTGTGATAGGTTGTTGGTCGTGATGTTTTAAAATTATTTTTCCAGCACTTTAAGATACTATGTTCTCAGAGAAAGTGCCTTGCATTACAGTTTTTAATTTCAGTGAATACCTTTTTTCTTAGAAGTTCAATTTTTTTTTTGTTTCCCTGTTTTTTTAAATTTTATTTTAATTTTTTGTTTGTTTTTTGAGACAAAGTCTCATGTGTCACCCAGGCTGGAGTGGAGCGCAGTGGCATGATGACAGCTCATTGCAGCCTTGACCTCTCTGGGCTCATGTGATTCTCCCTCCCAAGTAGCTGGGACAGTAGGCACGTGCTACGACGTCTGGCTAATTTTTGTAGAGACGAGGTTTCTCCATGATGCCCCGGCCTGTCTTGAACTTCTGGCCTCAAGCAATCCTCCCATCCCTGGTCATTTTTTTTTTTTGAGACGGAGTTTCGCTCTTGTTACCCAGGCTGGACTGCAATGGCGCGATCTCGGCTCACCGCAACCTCCGCCTCCTGGGTTCAGGCACTTCTCCTGCCTCAGCCTCCTGAGTAGCTGGGATTACAGGCGTGCGCCACCATGCCCAGCTAATTTTTTGTATTTTTAGTAGAGACGGGGTTTCACCATGTTGACCAGGATGGTCTCGATCTCTTGACCTCGTGATCCACCCGCCTCGGCCTCCCAAAGTGCTGGGATTACAGGCTTGAGCCACTGCGCCCGGCATCCCTGGTCATTTTTAATCATATCTTAATTTTTCTTTATGCTTTTACTTTTTTTTTTTTTTTGAGACGGAGTTTCACTCTTGTTACCCAGGCTGGAGTGCAATGGCGCGATCTCGGCTCACCGCAACCTCCGCCTCCTGGGTTCAGGCAATTCTCCTGCCTCAGCCTCCTGAGTAGCTGGGATTACAGACACCCGCCACCATGCCCAGCTAATTTTTTTTTTTTTTGTATTTTTAGTAGAGACGGGGTTTCACCTTGTTGACCAGGATGGTCTCGATCTCTTGACCTCGTGATCCAGCTGCCTCGGCCTCCCAAAGTGCTGGGATTACAGGCTTGAGCCACCGCACCCGACCTGCTTTTACTTTTTAATTTTTTTTTATTTTTTTGCTTCCTTTTTTACGGCTTTGTTTTAAATATACTGTTCTTATTTTATAATACTTCTTTAATCTTGATATCTAACCCTTTGAGATATTCCCTATGGCACCCATGCTAAATTGTTTCATTGTATGTTTTATAATTTTAGGTAGTGTAGTCATGTTCACTGGAGCTTTAATTATAGAAATCCCCAGAGATCTTGGTTGAGGACCTAAACTGGTATATCATCTGTCTACCTGAGTGACAGGCTAGAGTGCCTGTTACAGGTGAGATCATGGCTCACTGCAGCCTCTATCTCCCTGGCTCAGGTGATCCTCTCACCTTAGCCCCCTGAGGAACTGGAACTACAGGCCCATGCCACAATTCCTGGCTAATTTTTTTTTTTGTTTTTTTTTTTTTGAGATGGAGTTTCGCTCTTGTTGCCCAGGCTGGAGTGCAATGGCGCCATCTCGGCTCACTGCAACCTCCGCCTCCTGGGTTCAGGCAATTCTCCTGCCTCAGCCTCCTGAGTAGCTGGGATTACAGGCATGTGCCACCATGCCCAGATAATTTTTGTATATTTAGTAGAGACGGGGTTTCACCATGTTGACCAGGATGGTCTTGATCTCTTGACCTTGTGATCCACCCGCCTCGGCCTCCCAAAGGGCTGGGATTACAGGCTTGAGCCACCGCGCCTGGCCTCCAGGCTGGTTTCAAATTCCTGGGCTCAAGCAATCCTCCTGTCTCAGCTTCCCAAAGTGCTGGAATTACACACATGAGCCACCAGGCACATCCAGGCACATGTGTTTCAAATGATCAAAGGAAATTATTGGCTCTTGGTTCTAGATAATTCTAGTTGTATGATAAATTAGCATTTGCCTCCTTCCTGGGCCGATTTTTGTTGCAGAGGTCTTAAAATTAATTTTGTTTGTCTCCCTGAGCCATCTTCAGTTTGTTTTTACCTAATGCGCATGTTTTTCTTTTTTAGAAGGTGGGAAGTGTGTGTGTGTGTGTGTGTGTGTGTGTGTGTGTGTGTGTGTGTGTGTGTATGGAGGGAGTCTCGCTCTGTGTACAGTGCTATCTTGGCTCACTGCAATCTCCGACTCCCAGTTCAAGGGATTCTGGTGCCTCCGCCTCCCAAGCAGCTGGGATTACAAGCATGCACCACTATGCCCAGCAAGTTTTTGTATTTTTAGTAGAGACAAGGTTTCACTGTGTTGGCCGGGATGGTCTCAATCTCCTGACGTAGTGATTCGCCTGCCTCAGCCTTCCAAAGTGCTGGAATTACAGGTGTGAACCACCAAGTCTGGCCATTTTATGTGTTTTTTAAAAAATAAAAATAATCTTGGCATGGTGCAGTGGCTCATGCCTGTGATCCCAGCACTTTGGGAGCCTGAGGCGAGTGGATCACTTGAGGTCAGGAGTTTGAGACCAGACTGGTCAACATAGTGAAACCCTGTCTCTGCTAAAAATATAAAAATTAGCCAGTGTGGTGGTGGGCACCTGTAATTCCAGCTACTCAGGAGGCTGGAACAGAAGAATGGCTTGAACCCAGAGGCAGAAGTTGCGGTGAGCCAGGATTGCTCCATTGCACTTCAGCCTGGGTGACAGAGTGAGACTGTCTCAAAAAAAAAAAAGAAAAGAAAAAGAAAGAAAGAAAGAAAATAAAAATAATGAGATTAAGCTTTGAAAGTTAGGAAAAAACCTTATGCAGATAATATGGTTTAGTAGTGAGAATTTAGGGAACAATGAGAAATAAAATGATAGGTGAGAAGTTAAAAACAAAAACAGAAAAGTCTGTGTTTTGTTTGTTTGTTTGTCTGTTTTGTTTTTTTCACATAAAGATGTGGTACATTTTTCCGACAAATGTACTGTCATGGGCAGGTGAAAACTTACCCATATTGCTGGGGGAGGGGGGAGTATAACTTAATAGTTAATTGACTTTTAATTTCAGTTTAATACTCTTTAAGTTTTATTTATTTATTTTGAGATGGAGTCTCGCTCTGTCACCCAGGCTGGAATGCAGTGGCTCAATCTTGGCTCACTGCAACCTCCGCCTCCTGGGTACAAGGGATTCTCCTGAATGAGCCTCCCAAGTAGCTAGTATTACAGGCATGCACTACCATACATGGCTAATTTTTTTACTTTTAGTAGAGACTGGGTTTCACCATGTTGGCCAGGCTAGTCTCGAACTCCTGATCTCAGGTGATCTGCCTGCCTCGGCCTCCCAAAGTGCTGGGATTACAGGCATGAACCACCACGCCTGACCTAAGTTATTTTGAAATGCAATATATATGCTATTATCTAGCAGATCTGGGGATTGTCTCCCTGCCTCCAGGATTATCTTTAAAGAAATTTATGTATTTGTTGAGACAAAGTCTCCCTCCGTCATCCAGGCTCAAGTGCAGTGTGGCACGATCTCAGCTTACTGCAATCTCTGCCTCCTGGGGTTCAAGTGATTCTTGTGCCTCAACCTCCTGAGTAGGGAGGGATTACAGGCATGTGCCACCATGCCTGGCTGGTTTTTTTTGCATATCTAATAGATAATGGGGTTTCACCATGTTGGCCAGGCTGGTCTTGAACTCCTGACCTCAAGCGATCTGCCCTTTTTGCCCTCCCAAAGTGCTGGGATTACAGGTGTGAGCCACCTCACCTGACCGAAAGAATATTAAGGAAGAAAATTTCACTACTTTATATCATATCAATAAATTTGGTAGACTTCTTATTCAATTGGAATGATATAAATTGAATATAGATGTGAGCAGAAATAAAATTGCCAGGTTGGGTACATTGAAGTTATAAAGAGTTTGTTTTCAAAGAAATATTGTGTTTTCTATATTGTCTTAATATCACATTGAACAACTATTTGTGATTGAGTATGGAAGACTGACTCACCGCTTGGTTTTAAGTGGCTTAGGTCTATTGTAAAAGACTTTTGCAAAACGGGATGATAAAAATGGGGCCTGGTGACATAATGACTAAATTTTGCTTCTTTGTTTTGCAGTTCCAGTTCCTAGCAGATTTAATAGACGAGTATCAGGTATGTGTTCTGTTTCATAATATACTACTGAAATGCTATTTTAAGTTAGGAATATATTTAAAAAACATATTTTGAATAAAAAGATAAGCTCCTGTTACAAAACATTATACTAACAGTAAAATTACCTATGGTTTCTTTATTCTGTTTTCATTTTAAGTTCTGAGTATGTATGTACATATTTTATATTGCTATAATTGGCATAGTTTGTCTCTTTACATTTGTTACCACTATTTTTTCCATGTTTATCATTACAGCTTTAAAAAATGATTTTTATTTATTATTATTTTTTTTTGAGATGAGGAGTCTCACTCTAGCCCAGGCTGGAGTGCAGTAGCGCCGTCTTGGTTCAATGCAAGCTCCGCCTCCTGGGTCCCATTTCAGGTAGTTCTCCTGCCTCAGCCTCTCAAGTAGCTGGGATTATAGGCACATACCACCGTGCCCAGCTCATTTTTGTATTTTTAGTAGAGACAGGGTTTCACCATCTTGGCCAGGCTGGTCTCAAACTCCTGACCTCGTGATCCACATGCCTCAGCCTCCCAAAGTGCTGGGATTACAGGCTTGAGCCACCAGGCCCAAGAAGAAATGATTTTTCTTATTGTTGTTTCTGGTATTCTGGTTTATGCTGCCATTAACTCATACTATATACCTTTTTGAGCCACTTGAATTGTTTCCTCAGTTTTGGTGCTAGAAGTGGCTTTCTCTGGTCAGAGACTAACCATTGCCTTAGCTTTTTCTGTCATGTTTTCTAGAGAAAGTCTACAGATTAGGCTGCTTGGAGAAAGGCACCCTGTACATGCCTCTTTTCCACCACTATCTCAATAATACGGAATTTTGATATAAAATAGTACTTCACATCATTTTATATACCATTTCTTTTGGTTCTTAAAAAAATGAATGCTGGCTGGGTGCAGTGGCTCATACCTGTAATCCCAGTGCTTTGGGAGGCCAAGGCAGGTGGATCACGATGTCAGGAGTTCGAGACCAATCCAGCCAACAGGGTGAAACCCCATCTCTACCAAAAACATAAAAATTAGCTGCGTGCAGTTGTGTGCACATGTAATCCCAGCTACTCGGGAGGCTGAGGCAGGAGAATCCCTTGAACCCAGGAGGCAGAGGTTGCAGTGAGCCAAAATTACGCCATTGCACTCCAGCCTGGGTGACAGAGTGAGACTCCATCTCAAAAAGAAAAAAAAAAAATAGAATGCTTTCCAAATTTGTATTTTTTTATGTGGAAGTAGTTTGGTAATATTTTGCCCTTTTATCTGGTATAGTCCAGATTTTTTTTTTTTTTTTTTTTTTTTTTGAGACGGAGTTTTGCTCTTGTTACCCAGGCTGGAGTTCAATGGCACCATCTCGGCTCACCGCAACCTCCGCTTCCTGGGTTCAGGCAATTCTCCTACCTCAGCCTCCTGAGTAGCTGGGATTACAGGCACACGCCACCATGCCCAGCTAATTTTTTGTATATTTAGTAGAGACAGGGTTTCACCATGTTGACCAGGATGGTCTCGATCTCTTGACCTCGTGATCTACCCATCTCGGCCTCCCAAAGTGCTGGGATTACAGGCTTGAGCCACCACGCCTGGCCTAGTCCTGATTTCGTGGCCAAGTGCAGTGGCTCATACCTGTAATCCCAGGACTTTGGGAGGCCGAGGCGAGTGGATGAGGTCAAGAGATTGAGACCATCATGGCCAACATGGTGAAACCCCATCTCTACTAAGAATACAAAAATTAGCCGGGTGTGGTGGCATGTGCCTGTAGTCCCAGCTACTCAGGAGGCTGAGGCGGAAGAATTGCTTGAACCTGGGAGGCGGAGGTTTCAGTGAGCCGAGATTAAACCACTGCACTCCAGCCTGGCGACAGAGCAAGACTCCATCTCAAACAAAACAAAACAAAACAATAATAAGTTTGGGTAAATGTTTTATCTGGGTTTATTTTTTTTGACCTTTTGAAATTTTTAATGCAAAATTTCCCTAAGTGGTTATGTGAGTTAGAGATGTTAATATATGATTGATACCTCAAACACTGCTGGGTACATAGCAGCCACTCAGTAAATATTTATTGAATGTGCTTATCTTCTTTTTTTTTTTTTTAATGTTTACATTGATAATGAAGCAAAAAAAAGATTGTTTCTGAGAAGGCTCCCCTTTTTTTCATAGAGCTGGTAAATACATTTTATGAAAGTTTTTCTTAAAGTATTTGACTTTTTGATAAATCTAGAATTGGTAGTAGAGTGAAATGTTAATGTGTTTCAGAATTGCTAGGCAAGTGGTATATATCGCATTGTTCTTTTATATTCCCTTGTTTTAGGAAGGTTTCTTGATTTGAAATTGTCATCTGACCTATTTATTCCTCATAGGGCTAGGAATCATTTTTCTATCCCTCAATCCTTGTCTTTGGGAAAATAGGCTCATGTATGTTTTCAGAAAGCCTTTGTTGTCATTCTACACCACAATCTGTTGAAAGGAGTTGAAGAGTATATTATGTTCAGAGAGTCAATGTCCTGAGAGTAGGGATTAAGGTTAGTTTGATACTCATGAGATATTATCTTCCATTTCTGTTCATCTCTGCCCTGTACCTTATTTTCCTCTGAAAGATTAGTTAAATCCCTTGACATCTGTAAGATAGGTTTGGGAGATGCAGAATATAGTGACACCTCCTCCTGAGGTCACAGTTGGTATTAGTTTGTGAATTGCTGCTTGGCCCTCTGCCAGTGTTGTTCAGATCTTGAACCTTGTAGAAGACTCAGACAAGTACATGATATTACCCTCCTTCTTAGATTTTATAATCTTAGGATTTAAAACCTTTTCATATCATTGAAATGTTAAATGAAAATACAAGATTTTCAAAGAATTCAATAGGATGTTACAGGAGAGAAAGTATTCTGTAATCATATGAAAAGCATCCTGTAATCATACATAACATTTTTTTACGTGCAGACTATGTGCTAGGTGCACAGTTTTAAGGACTTTCTAAATGCCTTCCTTGTATTGTTGAATATAATCTTCAAAATAACACTTTGAGTGAAGTCCACACCATGATTATTCCCAATTTACAGATGAGGAAATTAGGAACAAAGTAGAGGTTAAGTAACTTGGCAATAGTTGAAGTGAGCATATGCCCAAAGGTAGCATGGATCCTAAGTACCACCCTGGCTATCTCTAACGATCTTTTTCATACCCTTTGGAACTCTTGGTTAGTTTTCAGCTACATCCCCCAAATACTCACTCTGTTTTCTCAGGCCAGCTTTCACTTTCCAGCTGTTGCTGAAGCTTGGCTTTCCTTGTAGGTTTCTCAAACAATGGCTCTTCCCTCTTCCACCTTCCTTGTAACACTGACAGGAAATGAGTGAATGTCTCTGTTGATTCTCATAGCTGCTTCCAGACCATTCTCTCTCCCTCCCTGAAACCCTCAGTTTATTTTATTTTATTTTATTTTTTGCTTTCACATTGAAGTTTGTTTCCATGAAACCTTCAGTTTAAAACTTCACATTATGGCTGGACATGGTGTCTCACACCTGCAATCCCAGCACTTTGGGAGGCTGAGACAGGAGGATTGCTTGAGCCTAGGAGTTTGATACCAGCTGGGGTCCTACAGTGAGACCCATCTCTCAAAAAATTAAAAAAATTAGCCAGAGGTGATGGTGCACACATGTAGCCCTAGCTGCTTGGAAGGCTGAGTTAGGAGGATTGCTTGAGCCTGGGAGGTCAAGGCTGCAGTGAGTTGTGATCGTTCCACCGTATTCCAGCCTGGGTGACAGAGTAAGATTCTGTCTTTAAAAAATAAAAAATAAAAAACTTAGGTTTTACCAGCCACTGCTCCTCCTTGTTTTAGTTATCGAACAATTGCCAGGTTGTTCCTTGTTATTTCCACATATAGATGATTCTTCCAATATCTGGCCTTCCGTTCTTTGACTTCAGCTTCTCCAGGGATCTTGCTCTCCAGTTGTCCACCCTACTTCAGCCACTAACTCCCAATGGTCGTACTCTGGTATGACAAGCATTACAACTCTTCATAATTTCAGTGAGTGGTCCCATTCTGCAACCACTGCCTGCTGTCTTCTCAGCTCCTTTGCTGTCCTACTCAAACCTGGATAACTTGTTGATTCTGCCATCTTTTCACTATTCCTCACTTCCTCCTTACTAACCTTAAATTCCTGAGTCAGTGATTATAATCACTTCCTGGCACATATCCTCAATTTGCTTTTCCCTTTTAAAAAATTATTATTATTATTTTTTAATTTTTGAAACAAGGTCTCACTGTTTATCTAGGATGGAGTGCAGTGGTATGATCACAGCTCATTGCAGCCTCAATTTCCCACCTGTAGTCCCAGCTACTCAGGAGGCTGAGACAGGAGAATTGCTTGAATCTAGGAGGCAGAGGTTGCAATGAGCCCAGATTGCGCTGTTGCACTCCTAAGCCTGGGGAACAGAGTGAAACTCCATTTCTAAATAAACAAGCAAGCTGGGCGTGGTGGCTCATGCCTGTAATCCCAGCACTTTGGGAGGCTGAGGTGGGTGGATCACCTGAGGTCAGGAGACCAACCTGGCCAACATGGTGAAACCCTGTCTCTACTAAAAATACAAAAAATTGATGGGCGTAGTGGTGGGTACCTGTAATTATAGCTACTCAGGAGGCTGAGGCAGGAGAATTGCTTGAACTCGGGAAGCGGAGGTTGCAACGAGCTGAGATTGCACCATTGCACTCCATCCTGGGTGACAAGAGCAAGACTTTGTCACATAAATAAATAATCGAGATAAATATATAATATCTAAATATATATATAATATATATGATATATATATAGCTATATATGATATATAATATATATATCTATATATGTATAATCTATTTATCTATATATATATATATATATATATATATATATATATATCTTAGAGATGAGGTCTCCTTCTGTTGCCCAGCTCACTGTAGCCTTGAAGTCTTGGGCTTAGGGGATCCTCCTGCCTCAACCTCCCAAGTAGCTGGGATGACAAGCGTGC